ACCCTGTGGGGCAGTTCCACTCTGTCCTCTAGGGGCGCTGTGAGTCAGAATGGACTCCATGCAGTGGGTGTGGTTTGGGCTTTGCTTCTGTGAAGATTGATAGCCTTGGAAACCCTGTGGGGCAGTTCCACTCTGTCCTCTAGGGGCGCTGTGAGGCAGAATCAACTCCAGGGCAGTGGGTGTGGTTTGGGCTTTGCTTCTGTGAAGATTGACAGCCTTGGAAACCCTCTGGGGGCAGTTTTACTGTCACATGGGGTTGTTATGAGTCAATCAATGCACAGCTCTTATCAACACAACACAGAGTCTTAGTGTCCTTAATTCTCAAGTGCAGACTCTAATACCTGTCCTGCTTGTCGTCAAGATTGTTGGGGACGTCACCTGAGACTGAATAAGGGAAAGTCAGAAAGTGCAGAGCGATCTGTCTTTGCACCAGGTTTCTTGGTGTCTGTCCCTGTCCAAGCAAAAGGAATCAAGTGAACTCTCCCTGCCCTAAACTCTCTACAGCCCAGTGTTGTCCTGGGGGGTGACCAGGCTCGGTCCCCAGCTCTCATGTTCCCCGATAAGGGCACCAGGCAAGACTGACAAGAACAAACCTCCCCCCACCCCTGCGCTCCTGCTGACCTCGCCTTGTCCAGAGACGAAGGATAGACAGCGGCCTTGCACTCTGGCCAAGCCCGCACTTCCTCCATTCCCTGACTCCTCCCCAAAGGCCATCCCAGAGCCCTGAAGGGACCCCATTGTGTGGGTGGGAGAGGACAGTGGGCGGCCGGATCAGGAAAGGTAGTGCCATCTCTTCTCAGGGAGGCCCAGGTCCTTGTCAGCAGCTTGGCAAAACCGCCAGCGTCATCACATTCCTGCTTGAGCCTCAGAGTGCAAAACATCCCTGAGGGCTTCAGGAAAATGAACCTCCGAGATAGGCAAGTGACTGTGCTCACTGGAGGGGGCCTTCCCGTGGGGCCTGTCATCATCCCAGAGTCACCAGACAGCAGGGAGCCACCACAAGGGGTCCTCTGGCCCAGGGAGCTCCTGACAGCTCCCAGTGTTGTCCTTGTTGTCACTGTTGGGTGTCATTGAGTTGATTCTGACTCACAGTGACCCCGGGTGACAGAGTACAACTGCCCCACAGGGCTTCCTAGGGTGTGATCTTTATGGGAGCAGATCACCAGGGCTTTCTCCTCATGAGCTGCTGGAGGTTCAAACCACCAAGCACTTAACCACTGTGCATGAGGGTTTTCACCGTGATGTTAACTAGCAACAATTAGAAGAGAGCTTTCTGGGCACTGCTATTTCTCTATGACTTTCCAGGGTTCTGTCACTGGTGTTCTGAGATTTCACACACAACTTCAGTGACCTGGCTTTCTGCATGCTTCTTGCTTCAGTCTGTGTTTTGAACCCTGCTGTCAAGTAGATTCTAAGTCAGAGCAACGTTATATGAGAGTGGAACTGCCCCATACGGTTTCCAAGGCTGTCATCTTCACAGAAGCAAAGCCCAAACCACACCCACTGCATGGAGTCGATTCTGACTCACAGCGCCCCTAGAGGACAGAGTGGAACTGCACCACAGGGTTTCCAAGGCTGTCAATCTTCACAGAAGCAAAGCCCAAGCCACACCCACTGCCATGGAGTCGATTCTGACTCACAGCGCCCCTAGAGGACAGAGTGGAACTGCCCCACAGGGTTTCCAAGGCTGTCAATCTTCACAGAAGCAAAGCCCAAGCCACACCCACTGCCATGGAGTCCATTCTGACTCACAGCGCCCCTAGAGGACAGAGTGGAACTGCCCCACAGGGTTTCCAAGGCTGTCAATCTTTACGGAAGCAAAGCCCAAGCCACACCCACTGCTGTGGAGTCTACTCTGACTCACAGCGCCCCTAGAGGACAGAGTGGAACTGCACCACAGGGTTTCCAAGGCTGTCCATCTTTACGAAAGCATGTTGCCAGGTCTTTTTCCCATGAAGGTGCTGCATGGGTTTGAACCACCAACCTTTTGGTTAGCAGCCGAGCATTAGGCATTCATGCCATTAGGGCTCCTTAACCCTCTCCCTACAGGAGTTGCGTTTTCCTCACAGCCTCTGTGGAGGACGACAACAGCCTTAGCCAGGAAGTCCCTCTTCTCTTGACACCTCTTTCCTGCAGTCATAGCCAAGGCCCTGGCTGGTGTCCACTGGGTGGAAAACAGAGCAACAGAGGCTCCCAGCCCTTCATGCCTATGGCTGCTTCACCCACTTGGCTCCCTTGCACCGTATGAGTGGGGCCAAGGGCTCGCACTCAGTTCACTGTCTGGATTCCTAACCAGAGACTGAAGTTGGAACTGCGGTTCTCAGCTAGGGCACTGGGAGAGCGTCAGTGGTCAGGGAGGGAACAGGCCAGCAGAGCAGGGCTCCGTCGGAGCTGAGGGGCAGCCCTGAAGACGGGGAGAACACTGTCGGGGTCACCCTTTCCTCTCCCAGGACTGGGGTTCTAAGACGTGAAGCAAGCAAGCAAACATGTCCAACCCCCATCTGCGGTGACCCAGTGGGGAGAGCGGTGTCAGACGGGGGTGGAGGGAAGCAGCGGGGCTCACATCTCAGGGGTGGCGTATTCGGGAGCCCGCATCCTCATGCCTTCCTTCAGGCGGCTGCAGAAATCTTCGTCCATCTGCACACCTGGGTACGGAGAGCCACCTGTGGGCGACACGGAGGCCTCAGGACACGAGATGACCACGTGGGGCCGCTCGGGGCGCCCCTCCTCTTGTCCAAGGGATGCTCGTGCTCAGATCACAAATCCCCAGCGACTGTGACTGGCATGGAACTCACCGTAAGGACACCCCACAGAGAACCCCAGTATCACCTCTGCTAGTGACACACGAGTGGTCAGGTATCTGATGCCACAGGCCAGTCCCACCGGCTCCTGTCTGTGCAGTCAGGAGACCGGGTGTTATCGAAGGGTTTCTTCTTCCTGCCCCCCACAAAGGACCCCTGAGGAAATCTCCCCAGTAGAGACTATTTCTTAATAAGCCACTTTTGACAAAGGCGCCAGACGTGGTAGAGACTACGTGTGGGTCATTCACCCCTCAGGGAGAATGAGGTTGACCAGCCACTTTCTGGCAAAGTTCTCCCAGCACTGGGGGACGGGGTGTTACGATGGGCCTGGGGACAATGGGGGCCTCAGGCTCTCAGCCTAGGCCAGTGGAGGGGGCCAGGAGCTGCTTGGGGGCAGGAGGCGGACTGAGGATGGCCGGAGGGTCCTGCACTTGGCCTTGGTGGCTTACTGTCCGGATCCCCTGTAGCCTTCCCTTCCAGGGGCCGCCTTGTTCAGGGAGCAGGGGGCAGCCCACACGGGGCTGGCCCTGGGCAAGGCCTCCTGCCCGCTCTGCTCTAGGCTGTGCGCGTGCTCAGGCTACATCAGCCTTCGTGCGTCTGCACTTTGCAGTGGCCACTGCTGGTAGGAAGCAGCTGGGGCGAGCGGTGCTGGCACCGTGTCACTGCGGGGCCACTGTGGCCGCCAAGCTGCTTTCAAAGACTGGAAGCCACAGGTGCCTGTCATCGAAAGCAGGGGAATGATTTTCCCACATTACAGGAAGCTAAGAGATGCTACGGGGTGACTTTTATTTGCTGCGAAAGACAAACTGCTGGCAAAGTCCAGCAGACTCTTGGCTGGACCGTGAGCGGGGAGGCCCGGGAGCGTGGATGTGCGGCTACACACAGACGTGGGCCTTGGGCACATCTGTGTGTACCCGGGCCCTGGACAAGGCAGCCAGCCGCCCACGGCACGTGCTCTTGGAAAACAGACAGATACAGCGAGGGTTCTGTGTTGTTCGTCCGGCATAAGCCAGTGTCCTGGCCTCACACTGAGAGGAGAACTGCTCATGTCAGGGGCACGGGGCAGGCCTCCTGCTTCCGGAACCTGCCCTACTGGTTCAGCTGCGGGGTCAGGTCCTTCCCGAGAAGAAATTCTGAGAGGTGGGAGATGCAGGAGGTGAAGAAGGGCAGTGGGAATCGAGGTGTCTGAGGAATTACCAGGTAGCAAAGGGTGGAGAAAGGCGTAGTCAGGCCGGCTGGCCGCCCCTGTTCCTGTTCACAGAGGCCATCTTTACAGCAGGCGCACACAGACCCCTCCTTAGCTGGGTTTTCTGGGGCCTGCACTGCCTTCAGGGTGTGCCCAGTCGTTTCAAGTGCTGCTCCAAGGACACTGGGCGGGGGATACAGACATCCTGGTCGGGGGTCCTGGGTCTCGAGTCCCCCCCACACTCACCCAAAGAGAAGATCTCCCACAACAGTACTCCGTAAGACCACACGTCACTCTTGGTGCTGTAGATTTTGTCAAAGATGGATTCCGGGGCCATCCATTTCAGAGGCAGTCGGGTCTAGGAAAGGGCAAGGGGGCGCTGAGCAGGAGGACACGGACACAGAGCACGTCCAACCCAAGTGCCCAGGGCTTGCCGCTCAGATAAGGCTCGCCCATAAATCACGTCCCAGAGCAGTTCCAGTTGCCGAGCACAGACAAAACGTGCAGCACGCAGCACTGTGCTGTGAGGGCAGCTGTGTGTATACCGTCCCCTAGGAAGGGGAGGCGTGGTTAGTCAGCATCTGTGGCAAGCACATCCTAACTCTCCGAGTCTCTTAAGAAATCCTTCTTCCAACCAAAGCTCACACTCCACAGGACACTCCAAAAACCCCAACTGAACTCGTTGCCCTGGAGTCGATTCTGACCCACAGCGCCCCTAGAGGATAGAGTAGAACTGCCCCACAGGGTTTCCAAGGCTGTCAATCTT